AATAACATCTTTATCAACTTAGTGAACATACAAGCAATGCTTAAAGCAATATTGAAAAACGTAATACCACGCTGGCACCACTGTAATCAACTAAGACAGCAAAATGAGTCAAATGATTGCAGCTGCAGACTGTTTCTTCTGAGTTGCTTTGAGATGTAACTACATGACATCCATCTTCCGAAAATCCATCTTGACTAAAAAATAGAACGAGATAATTAAACCATTAAATACTAAAAGTAATAGGCAATTTTTATGATGAAATCTTAAATAGTTTTTATCCTACTCAGTGGGAATTATTCACTTAAGCCGGTTGGATATCGAAGACTGGATTCAGAGCCGGTAGGCAGCATCAATTTGCCTGCTCGCGACATGGCTCATTTGTGTCTTTTTAACGTCTCGCTTGGCTTTTGGCTTTGATAGGTTTTGAGTTCACCACTCAGAAACAAGGGTAATTTGGGGTGATAACGGTCGAAGGAAATCGAGATAAACTCTTAAAGCACAGTCCCTTCATTGATGTCCAGTAAAAACTTATCGGTCAGACGTCTGCTCTGGTTGAGGAGACGTTATTTATTATCAACAACCACAGTTTGTCGACTTCTTTTCAAGACCGCTCCTACCAGTTGGACTGTTACATGAACGCGTGATCGTGTGATCAATAACATCAAATCTTCCTTGCGATTCGAAATTCAATCAATTCAGAAAAAAGCAAGGATATTGTTTGTGATGGTAATGTCAGTTGTTTTCCCATTTTACCTTTTGCTGAGGCCACTCCAGGACATGCAATGCTTCTCTCTTGTATCATTCTGGAAGTTGATGCAAGTTTAATCTCTTTTAAATGATTCATCAACTAAACCTGATCTCATTGAAATTGAAACTGATCTAAACTGAACCCACTAAATATAACTTTGCTTTCGTCGTTACCTTCAGGTTCTTGAACGTCAAAATTACGTTTTCTTGTAACTTTGCAGGTTTGGGATCCATAGCTGCCATCATAATCCTAGTTTGCACATGCCTAATTAAACAAAATATTCTATATGAGATATCAATCAAAAGTTAAAAAAAACAACGGTCACTTTTATATTAATTGCGTGGGCAAAGACGAGCTAGTAGCATAAAAGTCAGTTTCTAATTAAAATCTCTGAAATGTTATAGACATGTACAAATTCGGGGAAGCTCTAACAGAGATTCTGAAACTTCGGTAAGTTCATAACGCCTATAATGGTTCTTCTTACCTCAAGTTTGACGTTCAGGTGATAGGCAGTAATACTGATCGTTTTTCTTATTTCGTCCAATCTTGCTTGTCCATCTCAGCGAGACAGACAAGATCCGTAAGGCTAAATATACTTTATAGTGGGGTCTACTTACCACTGCACGTTCTGCTATTTCAATTTTTCATAGATGGGGTTTTTAATAAAACGGACGGAGGGTATGATATTGAAGACTAAACGTCATTTGAAACATAAAAGTAATCTCTTACTAGGAAAAAAAACCGAATGAATCCTTGAATATTCTTAAATTCACTAACAGCTACATAATGTTTGATATTTAAGCGATTCACGTACCTTATTTTGTAAGACTTGGCTTGGAGTAAATCATGTAGATCCTTGTATACACATCCTACTATCACTGACCCTAAAAGAGAGCAAAGCAAACACCGTGTAGTTTAAATCATGTAGATCCTTGTACACTCACCCAACTATTACTGATCCTAAAAGAGAGCAGAACAAAGTTCCAGGTAGGTTAAATGTGGGCTGATGTAAGTTTCCAATGATTGCACTCTCTTGAAGATGCTATACAGATACGAGTTAATCAAAATAACTTTGATGATTATTCAATAAGACACTGATGAATTAACGGATATTGAATGTAAAAATATAATGGCAATGTATACAAACCATTGTCGGCAAAATTCCCTGAGGAAATATTAATAGATGCTTGCCATTCGTGTTTCTCCAGATAGAAGTTACTTGCATTTTGTCTGTAAACTTTTTGAATATAAAGGACTTTCGAAAGAAAGGGAAAAAAAAACTAATGTTAATATTAGTGACGGTCAGATTCATGAAACTAACAAACAAATTCATTCAGACTTTTTTTCTGTCATAAAATCAGTTTGTCATTCAATCTCCCAGAGAGACAATCAGTCACTGTTAGCCAGTCAGTCAGTAAGTCGACTAGTCACTTACTCAGTCACTCACTCTCTTGATTAGTCAGACAGCTACTGAATAGATGATCAATTTTCACGAATCTGAAAAGACAGCCATGCAAATACTCACTTATGCTGTCGCGAACGATCCTTTTTGAACTCTTTGTTCCACTTAGATGGTGTTTGCCATAGCTAAGAACAACTTTCTCGAAGGCGACTGCCACCTTAAAAATAGACTCCGTTCTGAGTTCATCTACTCCAGACTGTTCTTCTCCGGGGGTCGCTTTTTGATATTTAGTAGTGAAGTTTTCGAACACATTTACAGCTTCCTGTAAGTCCATGAAGTACACATTATTTAGTTTTTTTACCTTTTCTAAGATTCATCACATTGAGATGTAAATCAATTCATTGTGATAACTGACATTCTACAACTAATGGTAGAAGATATCTAATCTTTGCGTGGAAATTTTTGCGCTTACGTATTATATTATATACTACCTTCAAATCGATTCGAAGCTTGTAGCTGCTCTTTCGCTACACTTTTAGATTAAAAGATGACGTTTTTATATCATTGGTGAAACCACATACCTGTAAGGAATTGTTGCTGGTGATCTTTAGGCTACTGAGTTCTGAAACAGCATCATTTGCCTGAGAATAAGAAATGGCAGTGAGATATGTAAACCATAAAAAGGTTTGGAAAACGAGAAAAAAATTACATTACGATAGATAGATAAGAAAAAATTACCAGCTTTTTTGATGGCGATGGCGATGATGCTAAAAATGGTGCTGAAGAAAATGCTGGCGTTGGTGATGGTGATGATGTTGGTGTTGGTTCTACAGCTGCTCCCGAAGACACTAGAAATGATGATACTGTTGATGATAGAACTGATGAGGATGGTATTGATAATAATGATCTTCCTGAAGAAATGTTTGAAGATGGTTGTGGTATCGATGATGACGCTAACATTTTGGCCGGTGATACTATTAATGACGATGGTTTAAGTGAAAACTTTGGTGCCGATAATACTACTGACGAAAAAGTTGTCAGTGATAATACTGCTTTTGGTGATACAATTTGTGAAGATGATGCTGGGGATAATTTTTGTACTGATAATAATATTGATGACGAAGATGTAGGAAAAACTGTTCCTGCCACGGATGACAATGCTGCTGACAAAGATTCTGAAGAAACTATTTCTGCTTCCGACGATAATGCTAATGTCAATGATGTTGTTATCGGCGTTGCTACTTTTGACAGTATTGGTAAAGAGGATGTTGGAGAAACTATTCCTGCTGGAGACAATAATGCTGATGACGATGGTGTTGTTATTAGTGTCGCTACCCTTGAAACTACTGTTTCTGCTTCTGACGATGTTGCTGATGACGAGGATGTTGATAATAATTTTGCTGCCGATGGTACTTTTGATGATACTTCTGATGACGATGATCCTGATTGGGATTTTAAAAAATAAACATCAAGCAAAGTAAATTGTGTTAAACAAACAAGGTCAAGACGGATAAATATTTTTAAAGCATAACTTACTGAAAAAGTAGACATGAATTGCTCAGTTCAGGTTACTCAGAAAGCTTGCAAAGTATAATTAATATCACCGGGAGACTTAAATACTATACCTAACTATATAGCTGTGTTATGAAAGATCACGGAAGGGCATTTTGAATATTTATTATTCTATGATAATAGATCGATTTCCTAGCTATTTGAATCCTGGGTCACGGAGCATTTCAGACTGTAAATTAAGTTTCTGTAGCTAATTTTTTTTTCTTGCAAAACCAGATTATTGAAATTTTAATTTATTATTTCTTTAACAATTTACTTTCTTTTCGTAAGAAACGTTAGCTTTAGCGTAATACGTATTAAACAATTTCTAGCCTCTATTAGGTTTTAGCTCGGTTCAATAAACATGCTGTTTCTAGAATACATTTGCTTTAATTTTTTCCTTTTAATACAAAAACCCTTCTTCACTTTCTCCCGCACTTCTTGCTCTCGAAGTGCTTTTTCGTGATTAGGAACCTGCATGAGAAGGTTGGTCCAAGTTACAGGCCCTAACAAAGGCACGGCGTTGGGTTCCGAGAATGTTAATTATTCTTTGGTTGAAGACTCACAGAATTTAATGCAATCATTTTTTGAGTCAACAACTAAGCAACTTGCAGAAATCAAAATTTGTTGACTGTTTAGGGTTGTTGTTGCCTTTTTTTGTAATACCTACCAGGTTTCTTGCTTTTGGAGTTGACCTTTAGTTACTTGTGAAACGTAACATAAAGTGTTTTCCATGCTTTCCATATCACATTTGTAGCACGTATCGTTCTCAGGTAAACATACCATGGATTTTGTACATTTTAAATTCCAATTGCCACTCGACAAGCAAATATGGTAGTTGTTATTCGGATAACAAGGACATTGATAGAGGCTGGCAGTCCGTTGAGGATTAACCTGAACCTTAAGAGAGCATGACGAGGAAAGATTTTTACCTGTTGAGGACGCCACTGAAAAGAAATTTCAATGAGCCGGAGACAATCATAAATCACTTGAAAAAAAGGCAAAACAAAACCAATTAAACTTGCGCCAGGATGGCTTAAACAGTCCTTAATCCTTCGGGTGCGTACGAGATAATTGTTCGAGTTTAAAAAATCAGGCTCACAGTGAAGCTTCGTACACAGTTATAAAATAATGTCTTTCTGAGTCGTGGCAAACGAGTGCGTGGAAAGTTATTAAAATACTCAGCGAAGGAATAAAAAAATATAACAGCCATCGAAATAATGAGCAAAAGCACTTGATTTTAATCAGAAATTAAGAACTTGGACTTATGAAATGTTCAAATGCTAAGAAATACACAAATCAAACAGATCTATTTTGAAAATTAACGCCCTATGAGCATAAATTGCGTTAGCACAGTATGAGTATAAAATTATGTTACCA